TTTTGCAATAATCTTGCGCCACCCTTGCACAAAACGACGATCATTTTTCTAATTTCATAGATAACAGAAGACTGTATTTTTTCTACATAACCCCCTCCCCTGACTTTAAAGCTGGATCCGCCCCTGCACTTTGCGATGCTACTACTTGGCGATGTCAATATGGGGTAGCAAACAAATCGCTTTGTTTGCAACTACATCGCATCTGAGGACGCCTGGAGCTAACGTAAACAAAACGTCCGGTTCATTACTACGTATTCGCGCCCAATTCCTTTGCAAGTTGAACATAAAAAACGCAAATTCTGAAGTGTTTGAATATTTTTTTATTTTACTAATCTGCGGTTTTGCTACAGCGAAAGGTTGTATGGATTTTAAAACAATTGATGGCAAATTTCGATGTTTTTTTGCTAATTTGATGTTCATTTCAGTGACCACTCCACTTTTTACTGGAATAAGTGGTTCGTCACGCACTTACATCGATCCGCACACTTATGAAGATCCCAATCAAGCTGTTCGGGAATTTGCGCGAGAAATTGATGCCAAATGCATTACAATTGAATCAATTATAGGTAAATATCAATTGATTCTCTATCTGAAATCGGCGCGCCAAACACATGCAGCGATAAACTCTCAAATGTCTTAATTCTTAGTTGAGTATTACCAAAAAATTATAAGTATTGAATTTAATTTGCTGCATCTGTTTGGGCGCGGACAGTAATTAGTATAGTATTGATTGTTTGAAACAATTTTTTTTAAGTTAACTCACTTTAACCTTTCTTCACTTATATTTTTTTACAATTTTTTTTTGGGAAGCAACTTAAACTAAGACCAATAAAAAATTCAATTTAAACTTCAACAGAGACATCAATTTAGTTTGGGTTAGTTTAGTTTAGTTTTAGGTTTATTATTATGATTTTGCATGGTATGATTTTAACTTATTTCTTTTTATTTAAATTCATTAGGGTGTTATTTTCAAGGTGGTGGGGAGTTCGGTGACGTTTGCAAGGGCAAACTGAAGATGAACGGGGCCGAAATCGGGGTAGCCATTAAAACCCTGAAGGCGGGCTCGTTAGATAAAAGCCGAAACGACTTCCTCACCGAAGCATCGATTATGGGCCAGTTCGAGCACCCCAACGTCATTTTCCTGCAGGGCGTCGTCACCAAATCGAACCCCGTCATGATCATCACCGAATACATGGAGAATGGCTCATTGGATACGTTTTTAAGGGTGAGTTAACCACTATTTTTCATTTTTCATTCGTTTAATATCTGTTTATTTGGCAGGCAAACGATGGCAAGTTCAAGGTGATACAGTTGGTGGGAATGCTAAGGGGCATTGCTGCCGGTATGCAGTATCTTAGTGAGATGAATTATGTGCATAGAGACTTGGCAGCTAGAAACGTGTTAGTTAATTCTGAGTTAGTGTGTAAAATAGCGGATTTCGGTTTAAGTAGGGAAATAGAAAGTGCCACTGAAGGAGCGTACACGACGAGGGTAAGTGGGTTTTTTATTAGTTGAAAAAATCTAGTATTAGAACTTTCGTCTAAATTGAATAACAACCCGGGGTGCAAACAGTTTTATCCCAATGTGTTTCAAGCCGAAGTCCACTTCGGCTCATTTCGGCACGGACTTCGGGCGTCAACCTAAGCGACTTTACTACGCAAAGCCGGTTGGGACACGTTTTTTGCACCACTGGATTGCCCCGAGTTTTCGCTATTGAATGTTTAATTTCTTTGCAGGGTGGCAAGATTCCAGTGCGATGGACAGCGCCTGAAGCCATTGCTTTCCGCAAGTTTACTTCTGCCAGCGATGTTTGGTCGATGGGCATAGTTTGCTGGGAAGTTATGTCTTATGGCGAACGACCATACTGGAACTGGTCCAACCAGGATGTTATTAAAAGTATAGAAAAGGGCTACAGGTAATTGCTTATCCAGTTTTTCCCGAATTATTAGCGTCGCTATTACCAGACGGTAAACAAGCGAGTCAACATGATTCTCAATCAATTTGACTCATTCAATTTATTAGATGGAGCCGTAGTTAAGGCCATTATGATAATGTATTACGTTCCATTTGCACTATCGATTAGCCGACAATAAAGTGAAACATACATTAGGATTGATAGCTGATAGCGTCATCCGTCATTAGTAATATTGACCAATTGCGATGCCCAATAATATAATGCAATAAATTGTCAACTGTATTAATTCGGTGCCGTTTTTTTGCAGATTGCCTGCGCCCATGGACTGTCCGGAAGCTATTTATCAATTAATGCTGGACTGTTGGCAAAAGGAGCGAACACACCGACCAGCCTTCCAGTCCATTGTAAAAACTCTAGATAAGTTAATTCGTGTCCCGGACACTTTAAGGAAAATTGCTCAGAATCGGTAAGTTTTTGCCTTTAATGTTACGGAAATCAAACGATCATCACATGCCATTTGCCATTTTTGCAGCATGGCGCATTCTATGCTTTACCTGTTGTACTGTTTAGTACCTGTTTAGTTACACGCGCCTTGCCTTTATACACGCGCACACGTTTACATACAATTAGCACTTTCCATTGCCACATTTTGATAAAGCGCATACGGTTTTGTGGTGCAACCAATGTTGCCCCACTGGATTCAAGCGCGTTGCCTCGGCAACGCGGTGTAGTTGATGACGCTTGGCCCGTTGGGCCGATTTGGTTGCACCATGGAACTGAGCGAATTTAGATTTTCAGCGTCTAAGGTGTAATTTAACGTGGAAATTTGAGGAGGCTTGATCATACCAACACATGCACTCACATCGATCTTTCACTTTGCATTTTAGAAGAGCGCTACCGCTTAACCATCACCCAACCACATCCTGGCAACCAAACCCACCACAGCCATATTTGCATTCCCCATCGACTCTTCAAATTGCCGGCGGTAACCCCTATTTTGGTTCCCTGCATAGGAACCACCCTTGCAAGGTTCTTTCGCATATCAATTCGCTGTCGGCTCAATATTTGCCCGATGTTATTCTGCTGCAGAACTACGGGCCGATTGAGCAGACCCCGTACAGTCTGACGCAAGAACAGGTCGAAATGCAGTTGCAGCAGGGATATCGCAACTCTGTGATTGAGCATGAAATGAGAAAGAGATTTAGCGGTATGCCCAGTGGGAGAGAGACAACACTGTACAACGATCCGCGTGAGCACGAAATGAAGGAGTTTAACACCGAAAACTGGCTGAATAGTTCGATGTTTGATCGGCAGTATTACAGTGGCGCGTCCAGCACCACTTCATCAAACTTCTTCAATCAGAAACCTCACTATTACCCCAACTTAGACCCGAATTTCCTCAAACTGAACGACGAGGCGATTTTCAATAAACGTCCCGACGAGGTTTTCCAGCAGAACATTTACGAAACATCGCCCAGTGTGGAACAAGCCAATGAACTGTTCCAGACTTTCGGCGATAATCTGGAACAATTCGCGGAAACTGGCCGGAACGAACGATGCGACTCGAATTTCAACGAACTGGGGGTTACCAATGGCAGTTCGATCGAGCTGGGCAAAAAATGCAAGGATGAAAAAAGTGGTACCAGCGACAATGCTAAATCCTGCCGAGCCTGGGTCGATTTTAACAATTTGTAAATACGCTTTCTGTATTTTGTTAACCAACCATCCCTCTAGGGCTTTAAGGTATTTGATGCTTTTTTTGTTTATTTTTTGCATGGTTTGATGAAACTGTTCACGGCGAGTGTTTTTTATACGCAATGGCGCGAAACGACTGAATTTCGGCAGTGGTTTGGAAAAACCTCGGGGGTAAAGTTGGAACCGGAAAAGGCGTTTTTATAATTTACAGATATATGATTAGGAACTTGACGTGATTGAAGAAAATTCCGAGATTCTGACACTTTTTTTTGTCATTTCAGAAGTGGTTGGAACAGCATTAGGGTCTACAGTAGAATACGTTTCACCTAAATCGTCATCTTTCTCATTATAGCTTAAAGCTGTAGATGCGGTTACGGAGTCGATAATTTGCTCATCGGTCAACATTTCTCTTTACGAATGCCATTATCAATGCTCACATATTCGAAGAAATTGAAATCACGCAATTTGGTTCTGTGTCATACTCGTAGTCAGAATCTTTATACTTTTCTAACCATTCGTTAAGTGTAATTTCATCGTCTGCTTCATAATTATTTTCTTTTCTTACAAATCCCCCATGCTTAAAGCAATTTGCAATGGTTTTTCGGCTAACTTTTCTTTCATCCTGGGCACAAAACACCACTTATTTTGTGATCCATACATGTCACTATTTTCAATTATGCAAGATACTAATAATCAATAAAATAATGATAATCACAATAACTTGAATAATAAAACAAGGCTGCGAAAACAAGAGAATAAACACGAGACACTTTGTTGATATGACCTGCTACGTCACAATCGTGATAGGCAACCGACGATACGGATTCGGCGTTTTTGGCGGAAAATATGTGATTTCAATTTAACATAGTTTTAAAATTATTATAGAGACTTTTTTGCAAAAAAATTATGTCAGTGTAATGTTTGCCGTAACTACTTTCTTTATTTCATTTAAAAAAAAATGAAAACACCCTATTCTCTGGAATTCAATCGAGCCATCTTCAGGGCCAATTTTACGTCAAACGATTTGCGAACCACTGTCGAAAAACTTGAGTTCCTGCTATCAAACCCTGATTATTGACCATCTATCTACGTTAACGAGCATGAACTATCTAGTTAAAATGCAGCACCCAGCATTATAATTGAATGATATTCCTAACTTTCCTGGGTTTCAGTCAAAGTGTGAAGTAAAAATTTTGAAACATTGTTTATTTCATTACGTTTCGGCGAGACAACAGCGCCATCATCAGATTTAAAATTTTACACAAACTCATGATTGGTAAAAATCAACGTCCTTTTAGGTCTTTGCCTTCTTGAAAACCTTGAGTTTTTGAAACTCAAGGAAAACTTCACAGTTTGACTGAAATCCAGGAAAGATAGGAATATCATAACAAGTACACGCAGTCAGGAAAATAAATCAGAATTATAAACGACTCACCGTGAATCACCCTGTATAGTAGTAGATAATGCTTGAACTTTGTTAGCTGTGCTTCCTATCGACTAGCGAGTGTAAAACGAAAATAAACAGTCCAACACTCAGAGTTTGTTTTCAAGAAAATGCATGTGCCTGCCTAAACACCATGTCAGTAACTCTTGCCGCCTCTTTGATCAATTTCTGGGGATTTCAGAGCCTTCCCTAGCTTTTAGGCGACCAATTCGACATGTACCTACTATTCGATTTTTCTGAGCAATTGTTCTGAACCGGTTGTTCGCTTTCCAGTTCCACCAATCCCTTATCAGCAGACGCGCCAGATTTAACCCAGTTTACCTCCGTCGAAGAGTGGCTCAACTCCATAAAAATGACGCGATACTTGGAGAATTTCCATGCTGGAGGCGTCAACTCAATGGACGCGGTGGTGAATCTCACCGTGAAGGAATTGACCGAGTTGGGCATCACTCTGGTCGGACATCAGAAGAAGATCATGAACAGTGTACAGAACATTCGGGCGCAAATTCGCGTCAACGGCAACGAAGGTTTTCTTGTCTAAAGCCCCGAATCACGACTTTTAACACTAAATCTCGTTTGTGTCAAATTTAGCGTAAAGTGAGTATTGTGTGTAATCCCCTCCTCCGTCTTTGTAAATTTGTTATATTTATTATTTTATTTGATGTGGATCTAATCGGCGAAATTGCTCATTAAATCATCGCATCATTTAGTCACTCATTGCACTCGATACAAATCCAGTGATGGAAAGGTTACTTTCTAACTATTGCGGCAGCTTGTGCTTTTATTTATTAGTACTTTTTCTACTTATACGTAATGGGACGATACTTGGCTTTCGTTATGAGCGAATTAAATGTGATTTATTATTTTTAGATTATGTAATTGTTTATGCTTTTGTAATGTCCGGCCCCCTGTTTATATACATATAACTGTGTCATATAGCTATTAGGACAGTTTATATCAATGTTCAGAGGCGAGTGTTTGATTCTGCGACAATCATTCATCAGCCAATGGGCTGAGAGCGAAAACAGCTCACTTTTCACACGTTTATTCAATAATACTGCCAAAGCAATCAAATGGGAGCCTCTGAATATTCAGTGCACATCGAACTTACTTTTGATTAGTTATTAGGACAAGCGACGAGCCGTAACCGATCAAATCTAAGCTTGATTACGCTTCCAATATGAACAACTTAATCAAGTTTTTACGTTGGAATTTCCAGTTGTTTTCCCCATTTTTTCGTCACAAAATAACTTAAGGCAAAACACCAAAAGTAAGTAGTTGTAATGATAATAAAAAAATAATAAAAGCATTATTTTTTCACATATCAGATTAATAAATAAGATGTTTATAACAGATGGTTTATTGAAGGATGTTTTGTTGATTTTGCGACGCAAACAGAAAAATTAATCAAACCTGTATACTCGATTCTGTACGATGTGGCTATAATCAAAACCAACTTTAAATTATTTATAATAGTTGTTGTAAATACTAACTAACTACGTGAACCAGATGATCGAACAAATGGCAACTACAAATGAAACAATGAATCGAACGTTACAAATAATTAAAAAAAGAGGGTTGAACTTTAGGGCAAATGACCGTTTTGCTTGCAAAAACAAACGATGTTTTGGCAGCAGTTAAATCGGATTTAGCCACTGTTGATACATGATTTTTAAGATGCAAAACGCGCTTTTTCCTTTAAAGCCAGCCGAAATATAACCCCCAAGATTTCCCACACGCCCATTAAAAATCCATAGAGAAAATATTCTTGAATAGTTGATGTTTAAGCCACCCTGTAAAGAAATTCCTTTTATATACATAAAATATTAGCTAGTGAAATTCTATGTAAAATTAACTGTCCGTAGAATATATTTGAGACTCCATGGTCTAAAAGTAAAATTCTAAAACTACGTCGTATGTAACGGAGAAAAGTCGATAGCAATAAATCAGTGTTATTTTGTATATGATTTTTAAATCGGTGTTTTAATGTAATATACGAGACTTGCAGGTACACATGTTATTTTAGAAACGTTCAAACTTTCTTTGATCAGCGACACGCATCAGATTGGATTAATTTTAGAGACTTTTATTTAAGATTGTTTTGTTATTTTGTTCAAAAAATTCAACAGTAACCCCGACAGTTTTCATGTTTTTATATGTATTTAGGGAAATGACTGAAGCCTACTCAAATTACATGTAGCTACCCTTTTAATATATTAAAGATAGTATGTATAACGATAATTTAAAAAACATTCCATATTTCCTGTATTTTTTTCCTTCCGGGCCCTTTGCAGGTATTCAAATGCCTTGAGCTGAGCGTCTTGTCTACATACCTATTTATTATTTATATCACTTTAATTTCTCTTTTACAATATAATATAGAACAGTATAAACGAAACAAAATATTCTCAAGAACTGCATGCGCAAGTGAGCTTGAGAATATTTGTCTTTTGTATTTACATGACACACGAAGCTTGTGATTTATTTCTAATCAGAAACGCCTAAGCATAACGGGAATAAATAGCAATTGGTGTATAATAATCGAAGGATAATTTATTCCACGTTAAGACTCTTATACAGTTTTTAATATATCTTTCTATACTATTTATAAGTCAGTGTAAAATTGTAATATATTTGTAAAATATAAATTTATTCAATATAAAATATTAGCTTACATAGTTGTCTTTTTAATTATTATTCGATTTGTATGTTTAAATGTGAATGTTGGACTTGAGAGAGTTCAGTTTCAGCTTTTATATTTTCTTTGTTTTTGTACCTTCTCCTAAAGTGGTTTCAAATATTTCCAGTCGTTAATTGGATGGGAATCAAGTTTTACAGTTTGGGAAGAGTTTTTTTAAGTAATTTTTTGCGCAACTTTCTCCTAAGGGAATTTTTATAATCAGGTCAAGTCTTTTAGAGCTAATTATTTTTAATTAGTTTTTGTTTTCATACTATTCTCGACTAAAGTAAACTTCCTTGACAATCAGACGAAAGCTTTATTTTACAAACTGGCCCAATTTATCCTATTTGTGCCAAGTATTTTATAAAAAAAAACAATACAAAAAGATGCTGTTAAATTTTTTCATTCTCCGTTTCTAAACTAAAAGATAAGGCATCAAAATGGTTTCGTTATAGTAAATAGTTCTTTTACCGGTTTGTAAACGAAAAGCAACGTTTTTTTAAATTCTTCCACGATGTGCCATATGCTATAAATAGCGACTGACTAACTAGAGGGCAGGACAAGCAAATGCAAGGTTGCCGTTCCAGTAAAAGATAATTACGATTATGCTGTCTCAAGGATTTGTCACTCAGTCAATGTGATCAATCCAGCCCTCCCTACTACGCAACGAGTTCAATGCGCGCAGTGTTGCCAGTCGCCACCCAAATAGCCAATCTTTCCTGGTTCGTAATTTTAATAGTCCGCCAACAATAACTCTTGTTAGCTTTACATATTTGCAATGATACATAAAGACCAATAGTGTTGCATTACGCTCGCATATTAGACTAACTGTTTAGTCTTGGCATGAATTTATTATACAAATACAAATATGATACTCGTATCTGATCTGTGTTCAGTCGTTCGATAACTTTTGTTCGCATCACTATGTGCTTCTAGTGCAAATGTAATTTTTTACTTTCCGTTATATCTTATGGATTTGCTATTTTGGTGGAGACTGGCAACGCTGCGCGCATTGAACTCGTTGGGTAGTAGGAATGGATGTTTTGATCGACGTACAGGAGTACCGTCCGAACCCAATAAAATTAACAACATTATAAGGCACATATGCTGATCACTTATTAATTAAGCACGTTTTTTCCCTGGACTACGCGCGTTAAGCATCGCTAGACAAAAGCACTAACTAAACACTAGAGAATTCCACACTATACAATTTTTTCTTTGACTACGTGGCAACACCGATTTAATCTTACATGTCAAGGAATGATTGAGTGAAAGTCATTTATTTCAAAATGGCAGGCTAACTATGTTGTGATATTGAGCGACAATCCTGAATATCTGTTTAAAATGGCTGTTTTTAATGCTGAATCTTTACCAAGTGATATTGAAAGTTTCCAAAGTGTGTCCTGCGAAAATTCCGGTAAAACTACGAAAAAATTCACACCGCATTTGAAAGAGCCAAGCCTGAACAGCGCTGGGAGTGCAACTCACCATTTTCATTGTAAGTTTTTGATCGCAAGAACTGTTTGTTGTTGTTGCAGACATTGTTGTTACTGTGACCAATAAGCGAATCACAATATTAACAATGTTGTCATTGGGGTGCCCGAGCGCCAAAAGCCCGATGAAGGGACCCGTAAGCCCGTCAACACGATGTGCCCCAAACTTTGTCACCAACAATCGAACGCTCCGTTCGCAGAAAACGTTCACTAATCCGAACTACGTCAACGAATTCCCGAGTAACATGCGACCAGTTGACAATTCTTTACTTAATTACCCAAATTCTGGTCATAAACCGATAATGGCCTGCGAAAACAGCCCCCGCTTGCCCGAACCACCATCAGGTAGTCCATTAGATAAAGAGGGTGAGTTGGGTAGAGGCAATGAAGCAATTCACACATTGCTGGGTTCCACGAAGGTCGGCCCATTTCACGGCCAACAGTTGAAAGAGCACCCCGAAGTTAATAAAGTCACAGAAAAGCATCAGTCGTCGGACGCGTTGGATCACAATTCACCCTCTTCTCGCCAGCCCGAAGTCATGGACACATCCAACTCAATTGAGGACTCTCAACTCAACAACTCAATTGAGAAAGTATACATCTGGAGGTCACGCATCAGGATCCGCAGGCCATCTTTAAGTCAGTCGTCGGACGCTTTGGATCACAATTCACCCTCTTCTCGCCAGCCCGAATTCATGCACATATCCAACTCAATTGAGGACTCTCAACTCAACAGCAACTCAAGTGAGGACTCTCAACTCAACAGCAACTCCATTGAGGACTCTCAACTCGACAACAACTCAAGTGAGAAAGTATTCATCTGGCGGTCACGCATCAAGATCCGCAGGTCATCTTTAACGGCCAGTGAGGACTCATTTGTTGCCTCTGATAATGAGGGCATTGAGGAGTTTACCAGCGAAGACGAATCCAGTGATGAAGAGCCTGCTTCCTCTAGGCGAAGACTCTCAGTCAGCGAAAGTGAGGACAGTTTTATCATGTTTGAGAAGGCTGATGTGGAAAGCATGGACGATCTGTCCGAGGAAGAAGATGATTATGAAAATGAAGATGATAATGAGGACGAAGAAGCTGCTGATCAAAGTGGGAGCAGTGACGAAGTTGTTTACCGTACAGTGACTCCAAGAAAGGTAAGAAATACACCCTAAGCATGTGAATTTCTGTATCTATAGCCTATAATTCTAAGCGCCTGATAAGACTCGATGCGGTATTTTTATCTTGATTAGCCATCTCAAGTAATAAGGACAATGAGCAACTTATTAATAGCCTTAAATCTTAAAGCTGATGAACAGATTCAACAAAATCAGGTACAAAACCCGAAACTCTCTAATCATTTACCCTCAGGGCCAACTTTTCAAACAAGGTCAATTCCTTCCTTGGGTGCTGTTGTCCGCAATGCCATTCTCAACTCATAAATCTTGTTATTGACTAAGGCCTTGACCGATAGTGGAAACCATTCACAACCAGAACACGATAATTTTATTCACATAATAACTGATAGCCTGGCATATTCAATTGTTGTTTGCGTTTCATCAGGCTTTTATCATGGGAACTATTAAAACCCCATTATTCTGTCTTAAGTGAAAGTAAGCCTAACAATGGATTTCTTTAGTGCGCATTCCAAGAATAACCAACCAGCTTAGGTACCGTCCCTTTTGGCCAAACAAACTTGACGGCAATGAGAGTTTAATAGGTTTTTAACTTTGTACAATCCATATTAGTGGCTCTTATTTAGAGGATTATTAACTGTTGCTGTTCTGACTCATCTCGATGATGAACTTTGATTCATGCTTCGGTGTTTCAGAAAACAAATGCATGCTTTTTTTAATTGCCGACGTTTCGCCATTTATTCAAGCCTGCGTATGCCTAAACGATGTAAAAACACTTGTTTTTCCATCGATCCAATTCGCGTTATAAAATGAGCAAGTTGATTAAAATCGAAATCATTTTCAGGTCACATTTGCCCCCGATGAAAACCTATGCACAGTCCACCGAATGATCAAATGGTCATTCGCCTATGAAGCAGCCAGAAAGGGCCATTGGGAAACGTATGCTAGAGATCGTTGCAGGTTCAAAGATAGAATCCTTCGAGTTGAGCGCAACATCAAGCTGGTTTTGGATCCGAAACATCGCGCCAAAATATACAGCGAGAGATTTTTAGCTGTTTAATTCGGAAAAAAGAACGAAATTCAGACTACTATTTTCACATTCAACAACTCTTTTGTAACTAAAATCAGGAAATTATATCATGTAAGTGAAATCAGTGGGTCAAGTTCGTATTGCTAACAAAGCGCCTGGTATCAAGTAGCGCTGTTACATTAATTGCAAATAGATCTGTTGCTTTTTGACCAGCAAGTCCTCATTAACATATATTTTTTTCCACGCTTGATTTGGACCATTTAACTCCATGTGATAAACTAGCTGAACCATCTTGGTACCAGGCCAACCCCCATTTTATTTAATAGGAGAGATCATTTTTTTGACTGTTTTGCTTAGTATCATGCTGTTATTTTAGTAAAAGTCACGTTTTTTTGAACGCCGAACGACTAGGAAATCAGCAAAGTTAATTTGCCATTGAAACTTCTATCCAATGATTTCCATTGCATTTTATTTAGAAATGCTAAGCACGTCTATCTCAAGTGTTTACGCTTACTTGAGCATATTTAAAATACTAGCATGATATTAACATTTTGAATAATGTAAGACTGTGATAACTACTAGCGTGTACATAAGAACAATGCAAATATTAGATTACGCGTATTAATTAAATTGATTTTTCCATCTTGAAACTCAAAAAATGCTCTTCTTTGTCGTCCAGACATCACAATTTGTATTATGGTTTTTCAAATTTTCTATCTCATGCGTCTTTAATATTAACGTTAGGCTGTTTAGTACCTGATCTAAATAATTCAGCTAACTTTTCACGGGGACTTCTAAGCACCAATATCCTATATTTAGACTATAATGCTCATTTCTGTGCGTCGTATTTCTAGTTTTTTAGTCGCAAATTATTTTTAAAGTATTCAGCAGTTGTGGGTTGGTGGCTTTTTTCGATTTGTTCAAAAGAACGGTGCTGCTCATATTTTTATTAGTAATTGCTTATTTTGAAACGCTTATGGACTTTTAAAATTGTTTTGCATATGCAAATTCAAATACGGATTTCTTCAAAGGAACAGTGCTGCTTACATTTTTATTAGTAATTTCTTTAGTTTGAAACGTTTATTGGCTTTTAAATTGTCTTGCATATGCAAAAATCGTTACCATTTTAAAACTCGGGGCTTCAAAATGATTCGTTAGAACGTTATATTAGTTGATAATTATTTACCTATGTTATTGTACATCATTGGCTACGTAAAGCGAGTTTGGTTGATGGAAATATTATAAATATCCGATTTCTTGCCGTTAAATACAAATGTTTTATTCGATTTTACTTTGTAAACTTTTCCAGTGGGGGTTTAATCACACCTATATGTGTTTATTTTAAGTAATTGTTCACTGGGTTTTAGAGTTCGTAAATTTCCACAATTAAACTGCTTTAAGGTGCAATAAAATCCCATTAGATTTTGTTACATTTTGTTTTTTACGGTTCTGTTATAGATTTTTAGTGCCAAAATCAAAATTATCTGGTGTACTTTGACGTTAATATGGTGCGTAACATTTAGGATATCTATTATTCCCATTATACATACATATGTGTTTGTGTATTAATTAATTAATATATGTATGTACCTTATAGGCAGTGCAATTCTCTATTCCCCGTAAATCCATTTTCAAGCTGTTAGGCGACTGTATGAGAGAAAAGTAATTTCAGCGAACAAGCAGAAAGTCATCCAGTTTTTTTAAATGAAAAAACCCTATTGTATTAAATCTTTTTCGCGATTTTTTCCCTTAATATCAATAAAATCCTTTATGCGCAAAAAAATGTTTAGAAAAAGACACAACGACCACCATCCAAGTCGACGACGCGCTGACACTGACACTCGTATCTAACGGTAGCTCAGATATTTTCGGTGAATGGCGCGCAGTTTAAAAATGTACATTTAGCGCAAAAGTATTTTTGTAAAACAAATTTGCAGGAGCATATTTAAATAAATTGCATTAAGTTTCCTAAACAATATTGGTAAGAAAGTGTTTCAAGTCCGTACCAATTTGCCTGCTGTGACGCTTCCCAAAATATGTTGATGGCTTCAAATGGAAACGAAAAATGAAGAAATATTTTGAGGCAGTTTTTATGGAGAAAGTTTTTTGAGTAGCTTATAAAGGTAACGAAGATTTAAAAGAAACAATAAGTGTAGGTATTTGGTTACATTTTTATATAATTAGATTAAGTCTACCTAAATTCGCACCACCCGTATGGGAAATTTTTTTATTAACAATTTTTCTTAATTTGGGAATTTATTTAAATATGCTGCAATTTGTTTTACAAGGATACTTCAAGGCGCAAATGTAAATTTTCAAACTGCGCGCCTTTTAGCGGATGCAGAGTTGCCAAGATCCGGGCAAGCATAATATCTGTGCTACCGCTAGACGCGTGTGACATTGACATTTCACTGTCAGTCCATTGTTTATAAGTGCCGGAATCTTGTTTAATAACAAGAACTTTAATTGGAAAATCTCAGCGAAACTGTGAAGGAAAAATGGCAGTCCGGACGTACGGGGATAAACCGGTCACATTCAAGTTGGAAGATAATGGGGAATACTTCTGCGTTGGCTCAGAGGCAAGTTGAACCTGTCCCCGATTAACACTCGACAATCGCGTTACTTAAACACCAAGAACTGATCCAAAATCCTAAAATTTTACAATTTTAACAGGTTGGGAACTACTTGCGCTTGTTCCGAGGCTCCCTGTACAAAAAATACCCTGGCATGTTCAGACGCTCGATTACCAATGAAGAACGAAGAAAACTGATCGAGTTGGGGCTGTCCCAACATTGTCTGGCCAGCAGTATTTCCCTGTTACGTGCCTCTGAGGTGGAGGATATTATTGAGGGAAACGATGACAAGTAAGAATGCACTTTATACCCTAAAAAAACCGCTAGACGAATCAACTCGCAGATACAAGGCAGTGTCGGTGCACACAAGCGACCCGCCCGCTCCCAGGGAAAGCAAGAGCAAGAAAAACACCCAATGGGTGCCATCCTTGCCCAATTCCAGTCACTTGGACGCAGTGCCTCAGGCTACTCCCATCAACAGAAATCGAGTGGCAGCCAAAAAGGTGCTAATAGCCCCAAAAAACCTTCGAAGACTTTAACAAAACCGTTGATTTTTTTTATAGATAAGGACGTTTCCGCTGTGCTTCGACGACACTGATCCACAATTGAACATCGAAAACGCTTGCCAACAAGAGCTGTTGGTGCCGATTCGATTGGACATGGAAATTGAGGGGCAAAAACTTCGCGATACTTTCACTTGGAACAAAAGCGGTACTACAACAGCCGACTTTTAGCATAGGCGCTTGTTTCATTGCGACGCATTTCTAGAGAGTCTGATAACGCCGGAACAGTTTGCCGAGGTGTTATGCGATGACTTGGACTTGAATCCGCTCGCATTTGTGCCGGCAATTGCCCAAGCCATTAGGCAGCAACTTGAGGCCTTTCCGAACGAGCCCCCAAGCATTATTGAGGAAAACACCGACCAGCGAGTGATCGTTAAACTAAACATCCATGTGGGAAACACTTCACTGGTTGACCAGGTAAGCCCCGTCCAACCTGACTGGAGTTTTGGAGTAATCAACGCCTGTCCAGGTTGAATGGGACATGAGTGAAAAGCAGAACAACCCCGAAGAGTTCGCCTTGAAGCTTTGCTCCGAGCTGGGATTAGGCGGCGAGTTTGTAACGGCGATTGCATACTCAATTAGAGGACAGTTAAGCTGGCATCAACGAACTTATGCCTTTAGCGAAGCTCCCTTGCCCACAGTGGAAGTTCCTTTCAGGTAAAAGTCCAATCCAAGGAATGTTAATGTTAGAGAAAGATGATTTCAATAGATTTTTTTCACTTAGGCCGCCATCGGAATCTGACCAGTGGGCCCCTTTTCTGGAAACCTTAACCGACGCCGAAATGGAGAAAAAGATCCGGGATCAGGACCGAAACACTCGAAGAATTCGACGATTGGCAAACACTACGCCAGGATGGTAGACTGGATTTTTTTCAACGTAGGAAGCTGATGTAATTTTATTGGAATTAACTTTAGTTGAAAGCGAGTTATTTCAGATTCATTTTATTGACTATTCGAAAGAAAAAATTATACAGAAATTAAATTTTATTTAAAACCTGTGGTTTCTTGCTAAATCCCTAAAAAACAATAAGTTAGTGAGCAAATGATGGGAGACGTTGCCCAAAAGCGCTTTGTTATCAGTAGCTAATAGTTTACAACATAGATTAAGACAAGTTTTCAATGGATTTGACCTCTACTGCTTTTAACATCAATGATCTTCAATCGATTTCCGGGGTTGTCACGCACCCAATTTCATCCCAGAAGATCGCCTTTACAACGTCCTAATCCCGTTTTATCTCACCTATTTGAGGTAAAAAATTGCCACTGCCACTGCAATTGGCCATAGTTTTCCGCTGATGAGCGCAATGTGAAAAAGTCTGCGGCACAAATTAGATTGAGTTAAAAACTATCCGAGCTCAATGCGAATTTGCCCGCCACCTTGACAACAGGGCATTGTTTTGATAGTGAAAATCGTAGCTCTGACGTTTAGAGGTTAAACACCGTTGTCAACAAATCACTAAGTGCGGGCCATTTTTCAAGTTTTCCAGAATTTTATGGAAATTAAGGCGCGATTTGGTAAGTTCAACCCATGTGGATCTGGAGGAACTAAACGGGATTTTCTGCCTTTTTGACAGGCGCTCATATGCTGGCATTGACCCGAAAAGGCGCCTTACATTGAACGCCGCTTCCCAAATTTTTCAGGCAATTACAAACCAGTTTTTCCCTATAGATTGTTGCCTAATAACGTACTGGCCAAATTAACGAAGCCATAGTTTGGATGCTTAATAAAAACCGCGCTTTATTAGCTGTCTTGCGTTGCCAGCTTTAATGACCGAGTGCGATGAGCTAAGAACGAAAAAATGCTGAATTTGGCCCCAAAAAGCCAAAAAACTAAACCGCTTCAGTGAATCTACTACTGATTTTCTCAAAAATACCCAATTAATCAAACTCTGAACTGGCACTAGTTTCATCACTTTTATCTCTTGAACACAACATCCATAAACAATCTGCCTTTCAGTGTTAAAACTAGTGGTTAATCAAAATCACACACTCAGCTTGATGGTTGGATTTGTTCATGAATTTGTAAAGTCGACAAGGTTAAGCAGTAACATTTCTATCGTCCTTCAACTGCTTTCAACAATTTAGTTAATCGGTTTGATGCATTTGTAATTGGTGATTGGGTGAGTGTCTGCTGAATTTTATTAGCGTTCTTTTCGATAATGCTTTATGAATATGCTAAAGAGTAGGTGATTTTTATATGGACGAAGAAAAGGTCTTTGCTTCAGTCTACTGAAATCTTGGCGCACATGCTTAAAAAATTAATACAAATCTTCCATTCTAGCGCGCGCTTATTTGCGCTTTGCAAAGTTCAGAAAAACATTAGACAAAGCGTTTACACACGAAGCACTTGATGTTTACCTGGCTTTAAATTGGTTTATCTGAGACTTAGCTAAGTGTGTTTATTAAGTTCATTTAAGCCTTCTGTAAGCTACTGTCGGCAATTAGTGGACTTTGACTAGATTTGGCTGAATGCGGGCAAAAACGGGAATGTTTCGATAAAAGTCTCATTCATATTCAAATGTTATTCATTAATATGTAAGCTTTCAAGTATGATCGGAATATTTCCTTATCAATCAGTTTGAACAGCGAACTGATATGGCAAGTCAAGTGCTCACCCAGTGAAGGAAAGCAAACGTTACGTGTCACAACTGTAGCCGAGATTTGAGCGAATTTTACAGAAAAATGTCTTAAAAGTTCTAATGCAAATAGGCTAAATGTAGGCATTTATAAACCAAATGTTTATTTAGCGAGCGCGTAGAATAACCGTAGAGCACGTAACTGGGTACATATTATCTAATATCGCTTATAGTGAGAGCAGAAGCAATAATGTTTAGTTAAACAGGACATTAGCCTGAGAATAGTTATTAATTTTGTGAATTAAATGGCAGACACCTCACCCAAACCTGGCGATTAGCATGTCACCTCAAAATCCACCAAGAGCGTCCTCCTCACCATTCCACCGTAGACCGTGGTTGCTTCAAAATGGGGCTGCCGCAGCTGCTGGTGGAGGAAACAAAGGAGTTAAAGGCATCATTGCAGGTAATAGTCAACGATTTTTTCCTCTGTTCTAATATGGTCTTGAACACTCTGTATATGAGTATTGAGGAGAAACACTATCAGTTGAACTAGAAAAACGCGCTTGCAAAAATTCAAGTTCTGTAAAAAAATCAAATCGTCCAAAATGTTTCAAAATATATATTATTTTCATCCATTGTGTATATTTTCCTGATTCAATCAAGAATGGCGTGCCAAATGTGAAGACAAACTGATGATGGTGGAGAAAAACACCGAAACGTTTTCGTAACATTTTAAATGGTAAACAATAAAATTGTCTGGAAACCAGGAATTTCTTTTGAATTATTTTCATCGCAAAGAAGTGAGAAATTCAACCAACTCTAAAATAAACCCGCTCGACCACAGTTAACCGAAATAACTAAAAACTCCAATCTGAAACTGTTTAACACCCGCTAAAAAAACTCCAAGTTTTATACTCATTTAAAGAATCCAACGAGCTCAGTAATCGAAAATTAAAACAGTGAAAAAATTTGGGAAAATCTTCGCACCAAAGAAAAAAATTTATAATTTGTCAAAACCGTTAATATAGCTGATGGTTCCAGGTGGAATAACTGGCGGTATCGAAATATGCATAACTTTCCCCACCGAATACGTAAAAACACAGTTACAACTGGATGAAAAGGGGGCCGCAAAGCAGTACGAGGGCATTGGGGATTGTGTGAAGAAAACTGTGAAGAACCACGGATTTTTTGGCCTCTATCGAGGCCTCAGTGTGCTACTGTATGGATCCATTCCCAAGAGCGCCGTAAGGTAACCGAACTTTCCACTGCTTCACTATTCCTACCTAACAGACGAACTTGCGATGGAGTTTAAAATTTTTTTCCCAAAAATCTATTCATTATCTATTTTTTTAAGGTTTGGCTCATTTGAAACGTTCAAGGGAATGGTAGTGCAACCAGACGGTTCACTATCACCTGGAAATCGATTATTGTGCGGTTTGGGGGCTGGAGTTTGCGAAGCCATTTTCGCTGTCACGCCTATGGAAACCGTTAAAGTGAAGTTCATTAACGACCAACGAAGTGCAAACCCCCGATACAAAGGGTTCTTCCATGGAGTTGGAATCATTATTCGAGAACAAGGTATTAGAAATAGTAGCCACCCACATAGCAAAATGATATTCCCAGAATATACCTGGAACATTCATGTGATGTACATGCATATTCCAGGGACATACGTGAGTTCCATTATGAACATTCCATGTATGTTCCAGGAATCTGTCAGAGTTAATACACTGGATATTCATGGTATGTTCTGGGAATGTACATGGTATGTTTAGTGAATGTACATGTGCATGTTCTGACAATGTACCTGGTATGTTCAGTGAATATACATGTGTATTTTCTGAGAATGTACCTGGTATGTTCAGTGAATGTATATGGTATGTTCAGGGAACATACATACATATATGTAACGAAAAAAACGATACTTTATTTCATCTTATTAGTTTATTCACATATTTAAGTATTTACTGATTTAATTTTTCAACAAGAGTTACTCACAACTAATCTAAAACTAATTAAATGGATAATAAATAAATTCAAATATAACTTATAACTACGGACTAAAAATCTAAATTAACATTTTCAGCATTTTTGCCGTTGTCGAAATGATGTGTGACTGTGAGATAAAAACAAACCTTTATCTAAAAAACTGCACTTATTCTTTTATATTCCTTACATGTTCCCGCTCTGTGGCTTTTGCCCTTTCATTTTGTTCTCGATCAATTAAAGTGTTTCGCAATATGCTCTTAACAAAAATTCTATAAGCAATTACAAATTTTAATATTGGTCACAACAACAAAATACAATTAATAGTTTTACATTGATAGACTATTCTATTTTGTAGAAAAACAGTTAGGTATAGCAATTTGCATTGATACATTATTTTCATTTTACTTTTGTTGCTTTCCTTCGATCCAAGAAAACATGCTTATCGCAAAATAGAAA